TATAATTCTCGTTTTCACCTTGTTTATCAGCATTTAACCGCGAGTTACCAAGTAAGTTGTTTGTGGGTTTTATTCTTGTGATATTGACTATTGAGTATCCTGTCTGTTCTTTATTTTAGACTACCATCCATAAGGTAAACCAATCTATTTATATTTGTTTTGAGGATGACCGTGCTGATTGACTTTGTACGTTCGGATAATCGTTTCTGACTTTTTTGTTTTTCACGTCTGAAGAAGACCCAAGTAAGGGTTGAAATATTACGTAAATTGTTAAGGATTAAGCGATTCAAATTGCGCGCGCAAAGCTGCCGAAAAAGCCACTGCGCCCTCTGAAGGCGTTCCAGGTAAAAAACCACGTGTTACAGACGCTCGGGTTCCGGATTCCGGTTTTTTCGCCCTGTGTGTTATGTATGTGCTACACAAAAGCTCTGTCTTGTATCAGTGATATTGTAAAACATTTATTAGTGCGTCAGTTGAAGACTTGGAAAACTGTGCGTACATCAAATACAACACGTTCTCAATTTTACAACCGGCCTCGTTATTCACAAACCTTGACCTGCTCTAACCTCAAAAGAAACAGTGCGTTTCTAAAACATGTGGTCCTTCGAGCCGGATATCGTGAATAATCGGTGCTGTATTGTACGATAAAGTTGTTAGTGACCGCTCTCACAGTAGATTCAAATGACTGCTCAATGATTCGTGCTTTGCTAAATTAGTTTTCCTACGTGCTGTGACATACAAAATGCCTGATAAGCAAAAGCTCAAAGAGCCGGTTCAAATCAGTCCACCGGACGATGAAGGGCAATATATAGCAGGTCTGCTCGACCCTCAGGCTGCTCATGCCAGTGGCGAGGGAAGGAAATCCCGCATTTTGTCAAGGAGTGGTTCAGCTCAATTATCAAGAAATACATCGCCTGTGTTTCTCCCTACTGAAGTTCAGCTCAAGGCACAGTTGGCGAGAGTTGAAATTCTCAAGGAAATACTTGAGGTGGTCAGCCAAGAGGAGCTGACACTTGAAGAGCTCAATGAATACAAGGTTCAGTGTGATGAGCACCATAAAGTGTTTAACAAGGAACACACTTATTTTGAAGCAACTTGCCTTCGAGGTTTGATATCTCATGCATATTTTAAAAGTAATGTGTTCTTGCAGGCTCAACGTATCTTTACTGCTCTTAAAAGAGAGATTGCTCGATGTAAGGCTCGGCTCACACTGGCTCCACTCGATCACGGCTCAACTAGTATCAGAGTGGACACTAAGTTGCCAGACATCTCGTTGCCGGTATTCAAGGGAGAGTACGCTCAATGGCCTACCTTTATCGAGCTATTTCAGAGTCTCATCTTAGACAACACTCAACTGTCAAACGTTCAGAAACTACACTATCTGAGGGGATGCTTGAAAGGCCAGCCTGCTCAGCTCGTGTCTACTCTGCCGCTCACGGGATGCTCGCTCGAGCAGTTGTTAAAAATTTTGACAGTTTGATATGAGAACAAGAGGTTAACTGTTCAAGCATATTTGGATCAGCTCATGGAGTTAACTCCATTCACTCAACGGAGTGCCACTGGCCTAAACAAGCTTATCAATACTTACGCCGATGTCACCAAGGGACTCGACACGCTTGGCGTTTTACGCTCGAATCTCGGTGACGTCTTACTCGTTTACCTAGCATATAAGATCTTGGATCGCTCAACTAGAGAGGCATGGGAGACGTCTCTTGGTTCTTCTCAGGATTATCCAACCTTTTCTCAATTGGAGGAATTCTTAACCTCTAGAGCTCGAGCACTAGAACGGATTGAAACAGTGCATCCATCGTCATCTGCTACAAAGTCTGCTCAGCCTTCTCATTCAGCCCCAACCAAGAAGGCTTCAGCTCATACCGCGGCGATGCAGTCAACGGCAACCGCTCTCTCGAAGACGACATCCTTCGCTTAAGGGTCAACGGCTCATCCATGCGACGGGTGCGCAGGATCGCATTACATTGTCGCTTGTGAGCATTTCAAGGGCCTCAGCCCTCAGAATAGACGTGACCTAGTAGAAAAGAAACGGTTGTGCTACAATTGCCTTGGCCGCCATGCGGTTAAAGCGTGCAAGAGCACGCGAAGTTGCACCACCTGCTCAGGCCGACATCAAACAATGTTACACGATACCAGCAGCCGTTCATCGGCTGTCACGTCCAGCTCTTACTCCACTGCACAAACACCGAAAAATAACGCTCAGCTCTCTTGTTCAACGGCTCATCAATCAGGCCTATCTGACAAGCGTTGAAGGTTTGGTGCAATCGTCGATGGATCGCATGATACTACTCATCATTATACAACACTCTTAGGAACGGCTCGTGCACAAGCCAAAACTCACATGACTGCTCACCTAGTACGTTTGCTCATCGATTCAGGCTCAGAAATCACTTTTGTTTCTGAGCAGTTTGTCCGCCAGCTCAACATTTCTCGACATCCATCATCGGTTATAATGCATAGAATTGGAGGTTCAAGAACAACTCAAACACTTGGCGCTGTCAAGCTTACCTTGGAATCTCTGCATTCACAGGACAACATCGAAATTCATGCCCACATTTTAAGGGCGGTTACATCGATCATCCCATCGACAGAGGTAACAGTCAGAAATTGGCCACATTTACAAAACTTGTCTCTTGCAAATCCAGAGTACTATCAGCCACGCTCAGTTGACATTATTCTTGGTGCCGATGTCTATGACCAGGTAATCAAGCCTGACATTATCAGGGCTCACTCAGCAATGCCCATTGCTCAGCTCTCAATCTTCGGTTGGTTGATCCTTGGACCTACCAATTCAGTTCGCTCATTATCCGTGCCCACCCACCATGTCTCAGTTCAACGAGAGGATGAAGTCCAGGAGTTGCTCACCAAGTTCTGGGTTCAGGAAGAATTTCCTCGTGACGAATCTCCATTGCTCACACCTGAAGAGGAAGAATGTGAAGCACATTTTTGTGCAACTCTCTCAAGAGATTCATTTGGACGTTACATAGTGCGAATTCCACTCAAGACATCAGCAGCCACTCTAGGACTTTCTTACCAGACGGCCTCAAGATGTCTCCAACGAACGATTCAACGGCTCAAGAGAGACTCTGAATACGGTCAGCTCTACTTAAAATTCATGACGGAGTACGAGCAACTGGGGCATATGAGACGAGTCCTGGCGGATGCTTCACCTCCTGAAGTGACCTTAGCACGTGATGTTTCGATATCAGGAGGGTTGAGGGATTTAGGAGAATGGTCATCTGATTGCTCGACAATCCATTCCCCTTATTACTTGCCTCATCAGGGAGTGCTAAAACCAGACAGCTCATCAACTAAACTCAGGGTTGTATTCAACGGCTCACGCTCTACATCTTCAGGAAAATCAGTCAATGACATCATGCATACCGGAACCAATCTGCTGCTCAATATCGTAGATGTGCTCACGTGGATTCGTCACCATCGCCACATTTTTCCCACAGACATCGTCAAAATGTACAGACAAGTCCAAGTTCATCCTGACGATTGGGATCTTCAACGGATTCTATGAGTAGACGAACAGCTCAATGAATTCCCCTTCCACCTCACCACAGTCACGTATGGCACAAGAGCACCTCCATTCCTAGCAACTCGAGTCCTTCTTCAGTTAGTTAGCGACGAAGGTCACCAGTTTCCTCTCGCAGTGCCATCGCTCACTTAGGGTGATACTCTATTGACCACAGTACGATTCGACACCGCTCGATTCGACACAGATTTATTCGACACCAAATTATTCGAAACCGTACGATTCG